ATGAGCAATTTTAACAACAAATTCTTGTTCAAAAAGTTTTTGATGAAAAAATTAGACAAAAATTGAACGCAATCGAAAAGAGAACTGAGGAAAACACTATAGAACAACTTAGTTTACTACGTGAAAAACATTTTCATACAATCAAAATTTATCTTCATTGTTGTACTGAACTACATAAAAGTGTACCTCTCACTGGTCTAAATAGTGATATTGTTGTTAAAATTGCTCATAATTTCTATAAAATCTCTTCCGAAGATCAAATTCAATTAGAACATAAATGGAAATTATGTCATCTTCCTCTCACTCATACATTCATTCAATTCAAACCTGATAAATCTACATCATTCGAAAGAAATGAATCACGACGATTACTCATCGGATCTGAGAATCACTTATTTCAAGATCATCATGATAGAAGAGGCGCATGGAAAAGTATATGGCAAAGATTAATCTCAGCTCCTTACATGATGTCAGTGGTTGAAATAGATCACTATTCAGAAGAAGATGATGTTACTGAAGAAAATATTATTCGATCGAAACGTTGAATTATTATTTTAGGTGATCCAGGAAGCGGAAAAACAAGTGTTTCTCGATGGCTTGTACGTCATCTTGCTCAAACACTTCTTCTTAATGGACAACATTCAACTGATTATGGTTCACTTCGTATACCAATTCTAATTCGTATTGGTGAATTTGCCGAAATATTGAAAGAATAATCATCACTTACCTTATTTGATTATATTGGAAAACATAAACGGATGGGCAAGTCAATTGTTGATGATTCATCAATATCTCTTGATAGTTTATCATGTGCTCTTCAAGATTATATTAAACAAGGTCAAGCTCTAATCATACTTGATGGTCTTGATGAAATTCCTGTTTCATATCAACGTTCAAAAATTATTAATCTTGTTGAAAACTTCGTCGATAGTTACATTCAAACACCTATGGGTACTTCTGCTTTCGACGATCGATATTTGAGTAGACTATTTGATAATCCATCTAAATCAGGTGGAAATCAATTAATCGTTACAAGTCGTATTGTTGGTTATCATGTTGCTCCATTAGCTGGTCAATTTGCTCATTATACAATTCGACCTATGAATATGGAACATATGAAAGATTTTGTTGACTATTGGTTTTTTCGTGTTCATCAATGTATACTTGACACATTGGATCTTTCATTAATTAATCAAGGAGAGATTCATGATGAAGCACTTAAAAAAGAACTAGAAAAAAACAGAACATATCGGACTTCTTGATATAGCTTCTAACTCTTGTTTGATGTCATTTATTTGTAGTGTGGTTTTCTGTCTGGTAGAAGGTTCACCATTACCTACTCAACGTATTCTACCATATGAAACAATTGTTAATTCTATGTTAAGTATGTGGAGTACTAAAAGATCGAGTATTCCAATACAAGAATTAATTCAAATTTTTAGTAATATTGCAACTTATATTCATGGAAATTCTGCATCAAGTCTTATTCATGAAGAAAAAATGAAAGAAATTTGTGTTCAATCTATTAAAGATTTGGTAAGTAAAGACTTTGACAGTGAAAAAAATATCCAAGATATTGAAAATCAAGCATTCGAATTCGTATGAATCATTCGTGAAGATGTTGGTATTTTAGCTGCTCGAGGTGAACCACTCTATGGTTTTCTTCATTTAACATTTCAAGAATATTTCACTTGTTTAAAACTCATCAACATAGAAACTACGAAACGGGAGAATGAGAACTGTGATGAATCTAATTTACAGAACAAAGTTCAACTCGTTACTCAATCTGTACGATATCATACAAATGATCCACGTTTTCAAGTACCTATTGCACTTGCTTTAAGCAAGATTAGTTCTACTTGGTGTCAAAAATATTTTGATAATTTTTGTTACGAATTTATATAATAACAAGATGAATATGATTCTCTTTTACCACTAGGTGCATATATGTTAATTAATTGTGGTAATGATCTTGTGAATTATCCTTCTCATGATGTTTTATTTAATGTTTTGGATCGTTTAATAATTGCAGCTGGTCAACATAAATGGTCAATTGTTTGTCCGTTTCTACTCGATCAAATTATAATTTCATTAAGAAAACTTCGACATGATATTACTTCATTATGGATTAATAAATTATTGTCTCAATCTTATCGGTATGATATTCAAACAGTATCGGGTCTTTGTCATCTCATCGAAGGAAAGCCTCATGAATTTGAAAACATTAAATGGTTAAATCAATCATCTTGTTCGATGCTTCAATCCTTGTTGACACTGGATAATGAAAATAACTCATTTGCTATTGATCGACTATTAGTTAAAATTGCTTTCTTCAATCATCGCTTATTACCTGTCAATCCAAGCACTTTCAAAGGATTTCTTCTTGACAAAGAAGTAGAATTGAATTCGATTCCTGTTATTTTGTTTCCTATAATCATCAGCTTATATGGTGGTTTGAAACGAGATGGTCCAGATATTGTCTTCGATCCATTTTATATTTATCGAGAATCAACTGCCGTGACACCGATGTTGATACATTTTCTTTCTAAAAACAATCTAAGTAACCAAAATGAAAATATAATCATGATTAAACAAGAATTTTTAAAATTATTAGTGACACAAATAGAAAACCAAGATGAATCTTNTTAGGGGTTTCTGTAAAACCAGTATAAAACCTGAACGGCTCAATGGATTTTCAAAATTCTTTCACCAATATTCTTAGAACTCTTCCCTCTACAACATATCAGAAAATGAACAAGATCTGACGACCTCGATTGAACAGCCTCGGTCGTGGCTTACACGAACTGGCTCTTATGTACATACCCGATTTGAAATTCATTGGATGCTTTTTTCGTAGCATCGAAAACGTTCAAATACGTTGAATCTTTTGCAGCTAATGCCCATAAAAGAGTACTACCAAAGTTTTCTAAGTGATGCATACGAAGCATAGGTAACAATGTGATCAAGGCACTCATAAGAGAAAGTTTTTTGCATGATATATTTGATAATAACATCAGGCATTCAAGTAAAACATGTCCGAAGAAGAAATGTTCTCTCTCATTAGTTGTAAAATCTTCAGGATCGATCTTTATAAATCCTTTCTCCAATAAGCGCAAATAGAGATTTCGTAGATGCGCAGGAATAAATGTTAATGAAAATAATAAATCTTCATCATTGCGAAAGAGTAAATGTTGTGAGTCTGTACCCATAGCAGTGATCATTCTATACTGTGTCTCGAACTTCTCACTACTCTCCAATGTCCAGAAAAGTTTTGTGAAATAATCAAGCAAAGAACAAGATTTTCTTTCAAAATAAAATTGTATATCTGTGGATAAGATATCATTGAGAAGTTTATATTCGCTTCGAAGTGAATTTGGTAGATACAAGATCACCCGTCCATAAGAATTTGATGTTTCTTTGACTAAAAATGATGTTGTAGAAAACCGTAAACGAGCCATACTAGTTTTTAATGAATTTAACAAATTCAGATATTGCAATTTTGATGCTTTACCATATTGAAATTTTTCGATCATACTTGAAATAAACTTTGTTACTTTCTTTGAATCCAATGTATCATTTCTATCACCAGCAAAACAAAATTGACGTAAAATCATTGAAATATATTTTAGTCTATGCATACTCATGCGTAAAAGAGAGCTGGAAATGATTTTTGGGTTATCTTGAATGTAATCGATTCCGTATAAGCAAATAATGGCAATACAAATATCAACAGTTTTACAAGATTCATCTTGGTTTTCTATTTGTGTCACTAATAATTTTAAAAATTCTTGTTTAATCATCATTATATTTTCATTTTGGTTACTTAGATTGTTTTTAGAAAGAAAATGTGTCAACATCGGTGTCACGGCAGTTGATTCTCGATAAATATAAAATGGATCGAAGACAATATCTGGACCATCTCGTTTCAAACCACCATATAAGCTGATGATTATAGGAAATAGAATAGTAGGAATCGAATACAGCTCTACTTCTTTAGCTAGAGGGTGTGGGTGTGGGTGTGTGGGTGTGGGTGTGGGTGTGGGTGGGTGTGGGTGTGGGTGGGGTGTGGGTGTGGGTCCGTGTCAGTTTGAAGAAAAAAATAACCACACCCACACCCACACCCACCCACCCACACTCACACCACCCACACCCATCCTCCAGTTAGCTACAATGACTGTTTCCTGAATATTCTATGTACTAATATTTTATAAAATGTGACAAACTCATTCAATAGCCCGATGCTCACGCTAAAAAAGAAACAACTTTGTTAGAACAATTTTCGTAAGCAGTTTTCTCCTTTTATAAATGTAAGTGCAGATGAGACTCGTGCGCATAAACCTTTTATATAAAATGTGTCGAAGGACTCGGTCTTCACGAAAAAAAAATCAATTTTTAGAAATTGGTGGGTTCGTGGATTCATACTTAAAAAATGAAGTAAACAGCTGAAACTGATTTACAGGAAAAATCAAAAAAGCAACTAGTTTGGATAGCTCTATCTAATGGTAACCTTGGATTTTCCAAAGGCCAAACCAATCGTGAGAAAATCCCAAAATATTACCTTTTCACTACGCGTATG